ATATTTTAAAAAGTTATAATATCTATGCATAAATATATTTTATAATTATTAATATATAGTTTAAGAATATAATATTGAAATAAAAATTTATATATCAATATATCATACATTTTTTAACTATACCTAACATATACATTTTGTATTTCTTATTATAAATGATATCTTGACAAATATATAAAATAAAGTTTATAATTTATAATAAGGATATAATTTCTAATAAAATATAATTTCTAATAAAAAAATAAAAATATTGTTACTATATATATATATATATATATATATATATATATATATACTCATACATACGTACATACATAGATATGATTTTGACTTATATTTTTCTCTAGTCATTTTGCATAACACTTATCTTTGCCTGTTCATTTTTTCAGAGTCATTTCATGTTAATTCTAACTAGTTGTTTTGTTCTGCCATTTTTATCTATCTATTAAACTTGTAAAATCTATTTCTCTTCTTTTGATACCGTAGTTAACCCAAACCACGACTCGAACAACACAATTTTATTGCTGACTTTGAAGGAATTACAACATTGACTCGTAAACCGAAAATAACACAAACAAGTGGACAATAGTATAGGAAATAAATACTCAACAAGTAATAAAATAAGAACTAAAGGGGCAGGAGCAGTCCTGGATAATGTCGGAGGGCGGCTGAGACGTCATTGGGGTGGTGGGGAAGGAGTTAGCGGCGGTTAGAAGATCGTTGGGGTGGCTTGCGGTGACCGTAGTGGTGATGAAGGGCCTAGAGTGGTCGGCGATCTGTAGTAAGCAACATCGGGGAGGAAGGTAGTGGAAGGATGGCTGTTGTGGGGAGCTGGAAGAGGCTTTGAAGTGGTCTGGAAAGGGACCTGAGGGATCTATGGCCTGCTGGAGGTGGCGCGGGGAGGAGGGCTGCGACTAGAGGTGGCTTAATGGAACCTGGAGGTACTGCGGCAGACTGTTGAAACGGGAGGAAACGCCTGAAAGAGCAGCGGAGGTGCGGTAGGGAAGATGAAGGACACCAGGAGGGGGAAACAGAGTGGAGATATACACCATCTTGGTGGGATACAACTGTAGCACCATGCCGCCAAAGGATACGTCCCTCGAAAGAGGGAAACACCAGAAGCAAATCCTGAAATCGGAAAACCAATATCACTGGTTCGAGCTTAGGCAAAAACACATATAAATAGAGAGAAGACTAGTAGATAACAATGGTGAAATTCGGGAAAAGAAGGGGGGAAATGGTAGGAAATGAAGAGGAGGGGGTTGGGGGGGGGGGGGGGGGGGGGGGGGGGGGGCGGCAAAGGGGGGGGGGGAGGGGGGGTCGACG